CTAGGAGAGCCCTCGTTACGACGTCAGGTCTATAGTTGACTGACCAAGACCTGCGAATCGAGCTAGATTCTCTGGGCGAACGTATGGACCGAGCGGCGTTAAAAGCCAAAGCGTGCAAATGCATGGTTGAGCGAAAGTATAATTCCAAAGTTCGGCCGAGGAGCTTTCAGGAGGGCGACTTGGTGTGGAGAAAGGTTGGAGAGGGGCGCCGAGTGTCTACTCACGGCAAGTTGGCGACAAAATGGGAGGGACCTTTCCGGGTGGTCGAAGTACTGAGAAATGGAGCGTACAGACTGCAACACGCGGACGGACGACCAATTCCAAACACTTGGAACGCCACGCATTTAAAATTTTATTTCAGTTGAATTATTCTTAAAAGTTGTATTTTAATTTTCAACGATTAATTCAATGACAGGATGTCTGTCTCCTCTCACGACTAGTCTCAATAAACACGAGGAAAGTACAAGTTGATGAACGGAGAGTTTCCCCGGGAACCACTGTCAACTTGGTCGGACGGTGAATGGAGAGTTCTTTCCGAAGAACCACTACCGTCCAGCCTTCATAAAAGTCCAAGTTGATGAACGGAGAGTTCCCCCGGAAACCACTGTCAACTTGGTCGGACGGTGAACGGAGAGTTCTTTCCGAAGAACCATTGTCGTCCGAACCTTCAAAAAGTCCAAGTTGATGAACGGAGAGTTCCCCTGGGAACCACTGTCAACTTGGCCGGACGGTGAACGGAGAGTTCTTTCCGAAGAACCACTGCCGTCCGAGGCTTCAAAAAAGTCCAAGTTGATGAACGGAGAATTCTCCCGGGAACCACTGTCAACTTGAACGAACGATAAATGGAGCAAGAGGCGAAAATAAATCTAACAACGCGAAAATAAAAACAACCGGATGAACGAAAAGGTAATGTATTCATTAGCAAAGGCACCAAAAAATGCCAGCATTAACAAAAGGACGACCCGACCAACATTTTGACAATCCATAATGTTGGACGGACGGCCTCAAGAATACATCAAAAAATCTGAATTAAAAATCGTAAAAGCAAAAGGCAAAAGGCGATCAATTATCGTCGTCATTCGCCTCTTCATCGTCATGTTCGACCTCCACCGTCTCGTCAGCTCCCGCGGCACCAGAGGGCCCTTCAGTCTCCGGCCCCTCGTCATCAGCCATGGAGTTGAGATCGACTAAGACGCCATCAAAGACGTTTTTCTTAATGTCAAAACCCAAGGCAAAGGGCTCGTGTATACTGGTAAGGACGGACGCCTGATGAAGGGCTCTGTTAAAACCCTCCTCGTGCTAAAAAACGATACCCGCCTCTAATTCAGATATCTTCTCCCTTGCCTTCGCGAGATCATCGATCAGAGCTTGGTTTGACTTGAGGAGTCCGACCTTAGAGCTTCTTTGACGAGCGACCTTCGTCTTCAGTTGGCTGCACTCCTCCAGGAGTCGTTCATGATCGTCCCGGGCGACGGTCAGGCGGTTGCTTGCATCAGCTGACTCCCTCTTGGCCTTCTCTAGGTCGGCCTCCAGCAGCTCGATCCTCTTATCTTAATCATCGCTGGTCAGGATCAACTGCTCCATGGCCGACTGGAGGGGGGCCGAATTCTTCTTCTCGGCCAAGAGTTCGGCGCGAACCTCATCCACCCCCCGGCGGTCGGCAAACTCTTTCAAATAGCAGGCGAGGGAGGCCGCCCGGGTGAATATTTCCAACATGGCGTTGGTTAGCTCCGCCTCAGAGAACGGCTTGATCAGAGCTCGCTGAGAGGAGCTCATATGGAATTTTGTCCGGTCACTCAAGTTGAATGTCGGACTAAATATCCTGCCCGGTAGTGGCGCCGAGGGGACTTTCTCTTTGCCCTTGCGAGCTTTCTTCGACGCCGACCGAGACGATGAAGCTTCCTTATCTTTATGACCCTCGCCTATAGGGTCTTTCCTTTTTCGCACCAAGGGGGCAGCAGAGACGGTGGCCGCCTCAGAAGACGGATCCACAAACACGGCCGCAAGGATTGGGACGGGATCTACAACGGGCGCCCGGCTTGTGGGAACAGGTCCCCTGGTCGCTTCGAGGGGGGCCGATTGTGGTGGCGCCAAGGGTACCGGGGGCAGCCGGCCAGTTGAAGAGGATCACCTCACGAGAGGAGGGCGAGGAGCGTTCGGTGCCTCCTTTGCCCGGGCTGAGGACGAACTGGACCCGGCTCGCTTCCTGGAGGCCATGAAGTTGGATTGGCGGGGTGCAAGAGCCATCATGAGATCTGGAAAAAATAAGAAAACTCAAACGTTAAGGTCGACATACTAAAGAAAAATGACAGGCGGAAATACCATACCGAACGCATTTCGTTCACAATCCTCATGACGAAGGCATTCGACCAAGTGACAGGCGGAAATTCGGCAGGAGAGGGCGTTAATGGTGCGCACGGCCTCTAAGTTGGTCGGACCCAACACGCCCACGGGGAACGCTTTTATTTTTCGGGGTTCCCTCGTCTAGTAAAAAGGGAACAAGGGATTGCCCGCGCAGTCATGGAACTCATGACGACCGGAAGCATCAATGATGATCTTGAAATATTGATTTTTGAAGTTCTTGAACGAGTCGGAGTACGGGTGGAAGAGTGTCATATCCCGAACGGAAGTTAGAGACACCCAACCGCCTTGAGAGGGCGGACGGACCTCGAAGTAGTGGAAGAAGACGGGGATTGTCGGAGTCACTCCCACGGCCAGGCACATTGCTAAAAATGCTTGCACAACCGCCTAGGAATTGGGATGCAACTGTGCTGGGGCAACGTTGGCCTCCCGAAGGACGACCATCTGAAATTCCGTAAAGGGCACCCGGACGAAGAGTTGAGCAAAATAGACTAGCACCGTAAGGAGCCTAGTCGTATTCTGTCACCACAGTACCATCACCGTCCGACTCAAATGGGGAGTCGTCGACGCGGATACCGCCCTTGAGTAAATAGATGGGGATCCCGTTGATTATCCGACCATCCGCCCCGCCCGGAGAGCTAGGCTCTCGGACCGTCTCCTCCAGAAACGACGACACCGAACTTGGAGAAGCACTGTGCTCACCATCGCCCCTCGTCGAACTCCCGCCCGACGACTCAGAAACAAAATCAATATGGACAACAGCCATTTATTACCTGAGGAAAAAAGAATACCGAGCTTGAATGAAAGCGGAGAAAGTGAAAATGACAGCACCCCCTCTCCCTATTTATAGAAAAATTTCTGTAACCGTCGAGCGCATCTTTACTGTCGAAGGCTAGCACGATCAACGCTCCAGATGCCAGACCGCTTCAACTTCCGCCACTGCAAACGTGACACGTGTATTTCCCGTCCAAATCCAAATCCAAAAAGTCGAAATCCCAAAGCCCATGAAATCCAGCCCAATACCAGTCCACTGACCCTCGCTACCCCACGGACAGGGCAAAAACTATAAATACAGATCCAGAGTGAGTGGTAGATAGATTGCATTTACTGCACATGTATTACTGTTCTATCGAAAAACGTCATTGCTCTCAAACTGACTTTGGCATCGGAGAATCTTTCGCAGGTCTCCCACCCGCACGCAGAGAAGGAAATCGAGAAGTAAGAAGCGAGAACCGGACGTTCGAGAGACGAGAAGAGGAGGACGTGGAGGCATTGGACGACTCCGTCCCTACAACCGAAACAATACTCATACATAGGGTAGTGCCAATCAGTTTGAAAATTTGTTATTTGCCTGTGAAAGCTTGGTCTATGACTTTGCATCAACCTACTCTTGCAGGAATAGAAAAAAAATTTTGAGTGGGGCTAATTCGTCCAAAAAAGAACAACGTTTTCAATTCAAAAATCCAAATCAACTTTGCTCGTCGATAGTCTGACAGGCCAGATCCACGGATGAATGAGGCCAACCTGACAACCTAACTTGGTTAAAAAAAGATTGAATTTGTATCACTACACTTCATATTAACATAAAATGAGAATTTAACTAAGGTTTGACAACTCGATCAAATAATCCGAACTATAACTTATTTTAGTCCTTTTCAATCCAGAATCAACCTTTTTTTATGTAAAAATAAAAAATTTTAGTATAACTCGTCAAGTTCTAGAAAAAAGAAGAGAAAGAAGCCGACAGGCTAGTTCACCAAGTCAACCAGACCAGATTATAAAGTTTAATCTGATTTCAATTGATAAACATAGTCTGATCTGAATTATTTTTGATAGACTAATATCGGGTTAGGCTTAAACAAGTTGAATTGGTCCATTTTACCACTCTAGTTTTAGGTATGGTTGAACATAGCGTTTAATGTCATGATTCATGTAATGCCAAAAGACTTGCTTGAAATCCTTACCATAATTTTTGCAATCCCTGCTTGCCTTCTTACAGAAGAACTGTGATACTCGTTTACAATTGTGGTCGTAAGATGTAGCTGGTTTTTGTCATACAGAGCATGCTTAACTTCCATTGTTGGTTGTTCATCCTGCATCCTACTGTGATATATATATATATATATATATATAAAGACTTACCAACACTACGCTGCAACTTCAAATTTGTACCAGCCGAAAACGATTACAATCACAACTTCCTTTAAAATCACTTTCACAAAAATACTAAGAACAAAGAAAGCTACAAAAGCTAGAGATATCTTAATCAAACTTGACTACTTCAAAAGCTCACTAAATTGCCTATGGAACATGTCTTCTGAGTCACTGTATACGGTTTCCTGTTCTTTCAGGCCAATGACATACTCAAATCCCCCCTCTGATTTTGGGATAATAACGGTTTTGGACAATAAGGTATAATCGCTATCGGTATTTATGATATCTTCTTGTTCCTGCACCAACAGAGCAAGCTCAAGTTCCACCTCCACTTCACCCATTGCTGGTCGTTCATCAGGTTGCTTATTTATGCATCTTAAGGCGATGTCTATAAAGACTTGCCAACACTCTGGTGCAATCTCTCCTTTGATTTTCGGATCAATATTCTCCTCAATACACTTCTCCAGTAATTCTTTTTCTATTTCAAAATAAACCCGTTCAAAAATTCTTCTTACTCCCACAACTTCCAGTAGAGTCATACCAAATGAGTAAACATCCCATTTATCTGTGACATTATCGGTCGTAAATGACTCAACAGGTAAGTAACCACAAGTACCTAAAAAGAGAAACTATCATCAGCTTTGTTCAGTTTAATTCACACAAATTCATTGCAGTAAGTAAGCTCAATAAAACCGAAAACTATTCTGTAGCAGCATATAATTATAAGATATATTATTATACAATAACATAGATATGAACAATTACCTAAAAAATCCGTTTTTATTGGTTTTGGTTTTTCCTTGAAATGTGCTCCCAGTAAGCTAGAGCTGAAACCTGAGAGTTTTGGGTGCATGTTGTCGTCCAAAAGAATTTTTCTAGGCTTGATGTCATGGTGAATGATGGTGCGCTTGAGTCCGGCATGAAGGTAGTGTAGTCTACGCGCCGCTCCTATGCAAATCTGTATCCTTTTTTTCCATGGAAGTGCTTCCCTAACCTCACTTCGCAGGTGTCGATCCAGAGATCCATTGGACATGTTCTCATACACAATAATGCTCTCTGTTTCGTGGTTGCAAAATCCTACGATAGACACACAATTAGGATGGCGAAGCTGACACAGTAACTCTACTTCTCTTTTTAATATTTCACAGCTTTGCCCGTGAAATCGCTTCACTGCGACTTCGTAATAAGAACCATCATTGTGTTGGAGACAACCTCTGTATACTTTACCGACTGCTCCTTCAGCAATTTCTCTGTTATGATCAAAATTGTTGGTTGATTTCCGAATATCAGCAAGAGAAAAATGACGGCACAACTCTTCTATTACGGTTGGATATTGTCTCCTAGATGAACTTGAGTCACCAAAACATTTCAGAAACATTTTTAGATTTCTTGGCACAGAGATTGAAACTGAGTGTCTAATTAGTACCGACACCCATGGTTACATTTTAAATTTCTTGCTAAACACTATATTTTTTGTTAGTTTTGATAAAAAAGAGTTTAATATATTGATTAATATCAAATGAAAAATATGGACAGCTTTTGTTGTTTCATCATCGAAGGTGGTGGGACTGTCAAGATAAGGTGTGTGTTTCTTTTCCTTTTTGAAAAGGTAAAGTGAAGCACAAAATAATTGCTTCAAACATGTAGTTTATAAAAATTATAATATTTTTTTTTCTCTAGTTTATAAGTTATTCTTCAGAGTTTTTTTTATAGCATTCTTTTAGTTGTTATTTGATTAAATATTTTCAGAAAAAATTTCAATTATTTTAATTTATAAATAATAAATATTATGAATTGGTTTTTATGATATCAAAAAATTTAGTTTTAAAGATTAAAATTCTGCTACTGCTATTGTTTTTTTTTTTCATTAATAATTTAAAAATTGAATTATTAATTACAATTTTTTGTCATTAAAATTTAGTTTTAATGATCATTAGGGAAATACTAATTACAATTATAGACAGATTACTAGTACTGACTAAATTATTCAAATTTTCTAAAATATGAATTAATTATAAGTGCTTTCAATTAAGGATGGAAGTAATTCTTAGCATTATTTAATTATAATCATTTCATCAATTTGAGTATTTTCAATTAAATTAAAATTAAAATATTATTATGTTGAGTGTTTAAAATATATTTTTTAAGTATTTTATTGTTTAATTTTATCATCAAAGATATGATTTAATTTGTCTCCAATTTATTAATTCAACTTGCTTTTTTTCTTCTTTAATCCGACGGGTTTATGGGTAGTTGTGTCCTTATTTCACTCCCACTATATACACCAGTTACAAATTATCAGGTATAATAAATTTATGAATTTGATAACATTTACTCTAAAGGCTTTTTGAAGTTGGTCAATAATGGCAGTATTAATTTGAATAGTTATTTAAAGGTATTTCTATTCTTTTATATCTTTTGTATACCTGTGATATTATATATAGTCTTTAATTATTTTGATGTTTAGATTTTTAAAGGAGAAATATATTTAAAGTTTGTTATGGAAGAAAAAAATCAAGATGTATTTCATAAATGGAAAGGTAGAATATTAAAGTTGAGAGATTATCAATTATTTAATTTTGTCATTGGTGGTATGGTTGAGTTTTCTTTCTAAACATATAGATGATAAATTTACTAAATTTGGAAATGATGTACATGGTTGTTGATATTTACTAAATTTTGTCAGTTGCCTGGAGTACTATATATTGTTTTGGAAGATTATGCTATCAATGACAATTATGATGAAGTTTTTGGATTGAAATATTGATGATTATCTATCTTAAAAAGTTGTTAAGCAATACTTTTAAACATACTAATACAGATAATAATTTTGCAGAAAACTAAGAGTAACATATTATGTATGCAATTTCATGAGTTTTATTGTGAAATTGGTTACAAGATATGCTTAATTGTGTAATTAATTATGACTCCATGCTTTCTATTTTGCAGGTGTCATGGGTTAATGAAATTGGACATAGGTTTATGAGAAGTGATATTTTGATGGTAAATTCTTTATAAAAATCCTATAATTGTTCTATGATGTTATATAACATGATGAAAATACTATTTGACTATGAACAATATCTTATAATTTAAAATCTTGAATATTTTTCAAAATAGTATTATAAGTCCAGAATGAGTTGTAAGGAATAATTTATTTAGTTTGAGAACTTTCTCACCATATCAAGCTTAGTCTTTGTCAAAATAGGTTGGTTTGTAAAATTATAAGTAGGTTTTACTGATTTACATGAGTTTTAATTTTATCTCATATATTAGCATATTTTTGTCTTGATAAATATATTTTTGTTTAAAATAACATATAACTATTGAATATCATATTTTTTTGGTGATAATTTACAGAATAATGACTTTTATGTAAAAAAGAATATGTAATTTTTACTCAAAATACATAAATGACAAAAATAAAGAAACATATACTACCCATGTTTTCTGTATAGAAAACCATTGTTATCAACAATTTATAATAATAGGTTAATTTTCACACCCTGTCAATATAAAATTGCGAGTAAATTAAACTATTATTATGATGTTTTGTAAAGTTATTGTTATGTAGTAAGGATATTTATGTAATAACATAAATATCTTAGATATTTTAGACAGTTAAGATATTTATCAAAGCCACTAACCACATTTTTAGGTAAGGTGGTTATTTTTATTTTGCTTATAAATACAGTGACAGGACCAAAGTCCAGGGACGTTCTCTTTATGCTCTAGAGATCCTGAATAATATTTCAGAGCAGTATCGTAATTATTCTCTTGAGAGCTTCAGCTCCATAACTCACATCTAACTTGAGCGCCGGAGTATCTTTGCAGGTACCTCCCCCTCCTTTGGCGAGTATGAAGAACAACAATGATTGGAGAAAAGCACGCGTCCCAGACAACCAGCAAGCAACCCAGACAGTCAAGAGCAACAAAGACACACAGGAAAATGTACACCGAAATAGTTATGTTTTTTTTAGCATTTACAAGAATATTTCTTTAGAAGATTATACTGTGTAATGTTTTAACCAATTAAAGAGACAAATATATAAAAATGATTAGAATGATGCTTTTTAAACAATAAAATAAATTACCACAAAAGTACAAAAAATTATTAGGAGTTTGAATAATTTCACAGAGTATTTAATACTATTCATTCTGTAACTTTACATTCTTAACCAGTAAGTAATTACGTGAAACATGATTCCAAAAATAATTATTTTAAAGTTAATAAATTTATCATGAAAATAATCTAATAACTCAGTATTATTTATATAAATCATTATATTTTTAATAATTTTATAAAATTTAATATTAGTTAATGATTATATCTTTATGTATATATTTTCCCTTTATAAGGTACAGCTATATACCACATTGCCGTGCTTATACATGGAGTACAAGAACATCAGATATGCAACTTGTCTCAATGAATATGGTACAAATATTTTATTTTAAACATAAACAAAAGAGTCACTGTCCTTCATATTTAGTTTTTATTTTTTATTTTACAGAAAAAAAGCATATTCAACATTTATTTCAAAATTAATCATAAATTATTGCATCCAACGTATGCAAACATTGAATAAAATTGAAATGGATGAATTAATAATATTATTTGGCTTATACAAAATAATTATATATATGATTGTGATATTTCAAGCATTCAATGCCTAAATAAAAGGAAGATCTTCAACCTAAGCTTTTGACACAAAACATTTACAAATATCGAAACATGCACTAAAGCGTAAAGATTAAATAAACATTTCCAGGGTTTGAACAAAAGTAAATTCAATATATTTTGACTAACACTAATCTCAGCCATTGAATTTTTTATTATGGTATCTGACGGTTATAACTGGCGGTTTGTCGGTGAATCACTACTTTGTGTTTCATGTTAGACTTTTGGAAAAGTTTTGAAGGGTTATAGATTCCTCCACCCACTCACCCACTGAAACAATGATGGGACATTAGAAGAGAGAAAAGCAGAGAGAAACCAAGAACTCGTCTGGTGATTCGTTCTGGCAATTTTTCCCAAAACTCCAAAACCCCCCTTTTATGGAACTAGATTTCCAACTTCACAAAAATTTCAATCTTCTATAGCTTTATCTGTATCGCACTCTTATTCTCTGCCCCCAATAAGAATTTCATTCAAAATTCTCTCAGGTGTTTTTTTTTTTTGTTTTCGTTTTCAGAAATTTAACCGCTGTCCTTTTCCTCGCATGCCCTTTTTGGTTTTTGATAGTTTGGTTTCCTTCTTATTTGAGAATCGCAAATGGGTATTTCTTTTTTCAGTTTTTCTTCTTTGGGATTTTTTTTGGGTTGATTTTTTTCTTCTTGTGTGGGGGACTCCGGTGTTTCTTTTGACAATTGATGCATGTGATTTTTGTGTTTTTATCTTGTTGACTTTTCAATTTCTAGGATGGAGGGCGTGGTTTGCTTCTTTGTGTGTAGGTTGTTTTCTAAATAGTGAAACAGTGATTGTGATATTTCAGCTGAAACGGAAGTTGATCCTTCTGCTAGTTGATGTATTAGCACGACTAACCGGTTACCAGTGAAGTAACCAATCATTTTTGCCAAAAATTGAAGGAATATTGCATCTTATAGCTTTTCCTTGAAGCACTCATAGTTGCAGTACACTTTTTTGGTGTTTAGTTTTATTGCACGTATTTTTGCAATGATGTTTTTGCGTGTGTGATGCTTTGGATTTGGAGCATCAACATTAGTTGAATTGTATTGTTCAATTCAGGCTTATAGAAAAATCTGTTATTTTTATTTTCCAATTGCATGACTAGAAGCTTGTACTTTGCCCTTCTCAAATGGTTTTGGTTTCAGTGATATTTATTCAATTTCGATGTATGTTTCAGGTGATCAAGAGAATCAGAGCTTGCTCATCCATATAACAGATCATCTGAACAGAAGAGGGAGGGTACTGGTTTGCGGAGGCAATTGTACTTCTGCGAGCTTAGAATCCTCTCTCCTTTATTTATTAATGGAAGGATAGTCATTAGTCTTGTTTAGTGCTGTTGGGGACTCTTTTACATGTAGCAGCATCAATGTTTTGATGATCTTTGAGTTGAGTAGTGAAAATTTTTTAAATTGAAAGAGAGAAGGATATTGAAGCTGAAACAATGGGATCAGTTTGTTGCTGTTTTAATGTTGATGATTTTGAAGATTATGTGAATCCAAATAGTCCTGTATATAGGAACTGTATGTGTCTCAGTTGCTTCCTACAGAACGTTTTGACTGTGGTATGTTTCTAACTCCTAACACCCTGTCATGTTCCATTCCCTTGTTTTATTTTGATTCACTTTTGGACCCTGTCTTGCGTGTTCTGTCTGTAGTTTGATTTTGAAGTATTGCTTAATGTTAAACAACCGTTATTGTGCCTCCATAACTTTACAACTTGGTGTTTTTTCAACCCTTCACCATGGGAAATTTGTGAAGGGAGGCTCGTTATAGCATTGCCATGGACAATAGTGGCCTGTATATATGGCTGAATTTTTGCCTTCTTCATATTCTGACACCTGCTATGGTAACCTAGAGGTCTTTCTTCATGGTCATGTCTTGATGCACTATCTGTGCTGAGAATTCCCTACGTGTGAAGTGGCAAACATACCTTTTACATTTGTAGGAGCTTCTGTTGTTTTTTGTTATTATTATGTATACATGCTTCCTGTTTATTGTTCTGTCGCTCAGAACTATATAATGTGAAAAATACTCATAATTGAAGTCATATGTTGAGATTGCTGTCATTTTCATTAGTATTTTGAAAAACCTTTTAGTATTGAAATAGATTTCCCAATCATCCAAAACATTATAAATTGTGATGTATTTCATATATATATGCATTTTTTCTAAACTTCTGGTCTAAAGTAAATATTAAGGTTGTCAAAATTGAGAGTTTGCATAAACTCATGGAAGCTCTGAAAATTTGCATGCAACGTAAACTTTCAATAGTTTACTTAATATGCAGAAGTTATTAAAATGCCAACAAATAATATAATACAATAATTCAACATTTCAATTCCATTATAAAATAAAGAGAAAATTATTCTAATTACTCTTAAGGTTTGGAAAATTACACAGACCCTTTTTTCCTATCCCCAATCTTCCCTCCTTTAATTGTCTGATAAATATTACACAGATACGTTTGTTTACACTGCGCTAACCTCCTCAAGCTCTTGAAAAGCATTATAACATGTACCCATACGAGGGAGATCACTTTAAGTATTGAAAAAATTAGAGATTTTAGTGTAATTTCACAAAACCTCAGGGGTGGTCAATGTAATTTGCCCTAAAACAAAATAGAAAACTAAATTACCCCAATACATTGCACTAAGAAATTAAAGGAACAAAACCAGTGTATTTGATGTACTCCCAAGTCCCAAATTTTGAATCAGTGTGTAAATATGAAATTTATTTTGGTTGTTCTTATGCACGGGTCAGTTAATGAAAATACCTTGTTGGTGAGTGTTCTTATACAGAAAAGAGGCAGGCCTGGTCCGGTTGGAAGAGAGAAAGAATGCCACTGGCTCAGATACAGGTCTGATTGCATGATAGATGAACAGATGAGAGGAGAGGAGAGAGAACCACAAATTTCAGACCCAAGTTGCAAGAGAATAGTGGAGTACCCTAGTTCTCTGTTTTTAATAAATCACAACCCAAAAATGCTCTCACCCAGCATTGTTATGGGCAACTATTGCCCAACGGAATTTGCAGAACTACCACTAAAATCGTGATTTTGCACTTGTTTGAGCGATTTTTTTTTTTTTTTTTAATTTACTCTAGCTTACTTTAAAACGAGTTAACCCATTTCATGGATTTAGGACCGTAAATTGAGTTTACGTGTAGGCTTATGATTTTGATATTAGATTTGTAAGGGATAATTTTCTTGAAGCCCTGGTGCTAAACTTCTTGTGAGAAGGCCATAAAAAATTAATTAATAAGAAGTTGTAATCGCCTATAATTTTGTTTAGGAAAGCTTTGCTGCATCTGTTAATCTAACGAATTTGGTGTTATTAATTCAATTGTATTGATTGCTAAGTACATTAATATTTGGTGGAAAGTATTTTAGTCTTAGATCCATTTATAATTACGAGAACTGTACTCCTTATATGCTAAATCTCTTTCCAATCTTCCTCTAATTTCAGTATGCATCAATATTCCGTAGAGGGGAAGCGCATGCGATTCCTTCATCTTTACAGGGCACAGCATCTATGACTTCTACAGCTTCACTTGATAATTCTCTATCTGACATGTACCGCTCTCCTCCAAGGCCCTTGCCTTATGATTCAGACCCCAGGTTTTTCCGTTCACAGCGAGATGGATTAGTGTCAAGACGTGAGAAGGGTTCAAGTCATTTGAATGAAGAGTCAGAACCTCTAAGAGGTGATGTAGATACTGACTCAGAATCTTTAAGTTTGGGTGGTAAATGGAACGATACCAGTGAAGATGGATCAAAGGAATATCGGAAGTCCTCTGTGAGACTTTCATCAGCAAAACTTACGACTGGAGCTGGGGTTGTCTATTCATCGTCGGAAGTGGAGGATGTCTGTCCAACTTGCCTTGAAGGTATGATTTTTATTTGTACTCAAATTTTTCATCAGAAGATCACACGATGCTGGGGCTCAATTTTGCATGAAATATTGGTCTGTAGCAAAATCCTGATAGCAGCAAAATGTTCAATTTAGGGCTGCTATAGTTGGATAGCTGTTTGATTGAAGACTATGGATACAAGTTAAATGATTTGTTCTACTCATTGATAAAATGCTAAAAAATGGAAACATACCAAAAAAAATAATTATAATGAATGTTAAAATTCAGTCTTCAGATAATTTCATTAGTCAGTTACCACTAAAGTCAAGGAAGCAAAAGGTGCAGCTCAATGCATGAGATTCCTGGTTATTAAGGGTTTGGAAAGGTAGATGTTCACAACCTTACTACAGTATAGGCCATGGCCAGAATTTGAACTTGTAACTTTCATGTGTCTGTCGGAAGGAGTTATCTTTACTGTTGTACCATGGTTCATCAAAAGAAGTTGTGGCCACCAAACTCGGAAATTAAAACTTTTAAAAAGAAACCTTTTTGAAATATAGGAAAACACAATGCGAGCTCTTTGAAAATATTACAAACGCATCATGTGAAACTCTCTCCCTTAACACAACACGGAAAACAGAGAAAGAACTACATGGAATGATGTAAATGCTTATAAGAATTGAGGGCTGTAGCCTTTCTGAATTTTTTAGGATATGAACAAAACTGACCAACTGAGGATTGTGATGTAGGGAAGGCTTTATCTGTAAATGATGAAATGCCACTGGAGATCTGGTTTAGTAACAAAACGGGGAAGATATTGGCATTAATCATGTTTTTTGGTCTCCACTCTCCAATACATGCATGAAAGGAGGATATGTTTAGTCTTGAATCAGAACTACACGCTTTCTGATATAAAATATAAGGAAACCACTAAAAATATTCTAAAATCCAGCTTTCAACTATGTGCTCAAAACAGGGAGGGCAAGTAGGGGTTTACTCGGATATTATATTTTATTTGATTTACTTGTTGCAAATGATATTGAGACTGTCAGGTGTGCCTTCTGTCCTGTAAATTGTGAAGAGGGAACAAAAAATCAAAGCTTCATGTTTTGAAGAATTAAAGAAAATAATTATGCTTCATTCAATGGTTTCTACATGCCATTTCATAAGGTGATCTGGAATGTAGAAAAACATAGTCCGTTAATATTGATTGGCGGCATTGACTTAGAATTTAGAATGTAACTTTATATTTGAGCTCAGGAATGTTGGAGGCTAATCCTTAAATTTTGATGAATACTTGTGCTTGTAAAAACGTATATTGGTTGTACTTGTTAACACCAGGATGGACACTATATTGGCAATAGCAACTTTATCATATTCTTACATTTGTTTCAATTATTTTTGCTTGCAGAATACACTGAAGAGAATCCAAAGATATTGACAAAATGCTCTCATCATTTTCACCTTGGTTGCATTTATGAGTGGATGGAAAGAAGTGACAATTGTCCTGTTTGTGGGAAGGTAATGTTTACTTGGTATTTTATGAATTATTTCTTACTGAAATATCCCTCTTCATTAGAAATTAGAATATGGAACACATAAAATTAGTAGGTTAAGAACCAGGCTGAACTAGTTAGTTCAACCAGAAACCCGCAAATTGACGACGTCTCTGGTTTAGTTATGTAAACTGTATGGTGTCCATAGTGCAAAATGTTTTTAACCATCCAGTTCCAGAACAAACTGTTGAACAGGTCCAGTTCTTCCCGTTCAAATGAGCTTGTGTGCCAACATATTGCTGAAGGGCAAAAGTTTAGGATTCAAAAACCATCTAATTGGCATGGTAGCTTGGAAAACATCAGGCTACCAAATAACAAGATTCTTGTTAAGAATACTTGGTTAGTATTTGTGCAGTGCGTGATGAAATGATAAATAAATAAATAAAATGTATGAATAGTAAAAAAAAAATCATAGGTTTTACTCTGTTAGTCATTCAATTCTTGTTGTTAAGTCTCTCTGTCCAACAGAAAACACTGCTCCGTGATTTTTTAGGCAGTTTCTCGACCCTGTTCTTGATTTGGGTGAGCGGCTTATTAAATCCGTTGAAATTTCTTGTTTATTTATCTCAGAACAGGGGAAAAGACAATGTGTTTGTGATGAGGGAAATGGCTTGTGAAATTTCCGCATATAGTAATGCTAGGAACGCATTCCTTTGAAAGCAGTCTCTTTCATTGGTGAAATTTATTGGAAATCACTGAATCTCTCTCCTAAATTTTTAGTTTTGAATAAATCTTAGTCAATACGAGAGTATGTTACAAAGAGTGTGTTCTCAGCACATCTCTGGCCAAAAATCATAAAAATGTGTATGCTTTTGCTACATAATTGTGATGTTGGACATAGAATGTGCCATTTTGTAATATTTCCATTTTAAGGGCTTGATAAGCACTTTTTAATAGTGAGATGGAATTTCCACTTGGGATGAATTTAGTATGATTTTATGACATGAGGCTTGTAGGTACAAAAAATGTTGTAAGAAAAACTGAACTGAATTGAAATTAAAGGCCAAAGCCATATGTTTATATAAAAAAGGCCGTTTTGGATACATAACAGGCGTATTTCAGTTTTTCTTCTACGATAACTATTTATTATGATCATCATTCATTGTCTTATGGAACTTATTTTCTGATGCATTGTATCTTTTTAGAAACTGTAGCTTTTGATCACAGAAATATTAGGTGTATTCTGTGACCCTTGGTTATTAACTCTGTTACTTGTTACTACAAACTTAATGGCACGGTCTATTTATTATTCAATATGTGATTTTATATAATTCTAAAAGTTTATATATTATAGGAGGTGATGGAAATGCCGACATACTTGGGCATGATAATAATTATTTTAACTTCGCTGACATAGACTTCCACCTGGCATGCATTAATATTGTTTATATATGAAATATCACTTGTATGTCAATTTACTTGTCTGTCCGTTTCAGCTTGATTCTAGCAATATTTTTTATTTTCACACAACCTTTTATGATTATGCTATTTTAATATTGATCTAATATAGTATATAAATTCAGCATGACTGGAGTGCTAGCACATGGATAATAATTTGTGCATTTGACAATATGTGCATTCAAGATTTGTAGGCTAAAATCTGCACTAGAAGTTGGGGTGTACTGAATCGTGATATTTACTTATTTATATTTTTGTTGTAGGAGATGGTATTCGATGAAACGACTTAATCTTGACTAAAAAGGTTTATGTCGTGGATAATACCAACATCAGAGGAAAGGAAAAATACAAGCATAGACATTGTGAATACTTCAGATTAAGTGCTTATCGTGTATAGTTAGTAAATAACTTTTATTAACCATCAATGTAAGTTCAATCTCATCCAAGTTGTTTCTATATTTATACTTTGGCCCTCGCCAAAACTGCGAAGATTAAAAGAAAATTTCATTTTAGGTGGGAACTTTGTAATGGTTTCAACAGTTTGCCTTGTAATAGAATGATTACCTCTCTGTTTTTTTATTTTTGAGTTTTTGTTCATATTTTTTATGAGCTTACTCCATAAGTTCAGTTTTTGAACCTCTTTTCCTAATTGGTTTATGCAACTGATGAGCCGTAGAAAGAAGAGAATTAATCCAAATTGGACATGGGAAAATATGGTTAGTTCCTTGGAATATTGCTAATTTTTAAAATTAAACGAGATATGCAAAACCAAACTTTTGAAAATTTTCATTAAATAGTTTTATATTAAGTGTGCCTCAACTCATCGTACACATTATAATTTCTACAGGTTTGGTGTACTCTGATTTTCTTTTAATTTAAATAAAGTTCTAATGATTTGATTTGGCGTAAACCACTTTTTAAGCTGAGCGCTGATTTGACCTGTTTTCCGAAGCAACTGTGTGAATGTGGTATTTCAAAAAGCTTACAGCAACTTGACGTGTGCTGAAGTGAAAGTGTAAATGAAAACATGAATCTGTCAACAACACTGGTTGCAGGGTCAGTAGCAGAAGGATGAAAGGTCCTTAAGTCGTTGCTCATCAATGTTTTCGGTCAACAAGAAATATGAAAAGGGCCAAAACCTGAAGTTATTGGTTGTAAAGATATAAGCTTGAATTAATGGAGGATTATAAAGCTAAAAATACTATCCCTAAGCTCTTATTTAAACAAAAGGCTAATAAAAACTTATTATTGGGTTAGGAAAAAAAGAGGGAAGTATCATATTACTGAAAGGTAAGGCGCGTTGGAAGTGAGGCCGAACGGTAAGGTAAAGGGGAAGTGAGGCTTAACATAAAGAAAAGGGGAAGCGAAGTCGAATGGTCTGAACAGTAAGGCAAGGGAAAACTTAGCCGAAAGTAAGAGAGGGAAAACTAGGGCGAATGGTAAGGCAAAGGGGAAGTGAGGCCGAACGGAGTAAGAGAGGAGAAGCTAGGCTGAACGGTGTAGGCCGAACGGTGTAATAGAGAAAAAGTAGACCGAACGGTATCATGATAAGGCAGGGGGAAGTTAAAGACCGAACGGTGATTTCAAGGGAAGAGGGAGTTAAGGGCCAAACGGTAGCCCGGAGGGAAGATGGAAGGGTAGACCGGATGATATTTAGTAGAAGCAATTTGGGTTAGCAGAAAGGTTAGGGTTTCGAAAGGCAACACTATAAATAGTCTTCCTGTAACTCTATTCAAGAGGTTATTTTTCTTTTGAATATAGACTGGGCATATTTGCCAGTGGGGAAGATAGGCTTTCTTGGAGGAGATTACACTTTGTAATTTTCTATACTTTACAGAATCAATAATACATACATACTTTCTTTTCTATTGTTCTAGTTTTTGAGTGAGAAGAGAGCGTAGATTTAGGTTACTCGTATAAAGTAACCTAAGATACTGTGACATCTTTCTCTAGGCAAAACGGTGCTAACGGAAGGGAAATTACATTTTTTTGCCAACCAAATCAAGCATAAGCATTTCACACAGGGTGCAAAATTTAAAATAGCAGGACAATAAATGTATGGATAGCAATGCCAGATAAATAGCAAAGACATTGAATTTATTATGGCTATCCGATAAACAAGGGCAAAGACACACTATATACACATTATTGTAAAACATAAACATTCTCTTGCATGTCAATAGAAGTTTCACATATGATAGAGTGCTATAAAACTCTGAAGACCAACTTTTCATTTCCAAGGTTTCATCCTTATTGTATAATAGAAACTGCTAAGAGCTGAAAGTCAAGTTGTAGCAACTTGGAAAGCTTTCAAGAAGACTTCAGGGATTTGTCCACCACTCAACTTGTGTTTTCCATTAATCTGCCAAATGATAAATAAGTGAATAACTTTGTTTTTTTTTTCAATCTTTATGACACTGTAAAAAAACAGACTGGAATTTAACACTGTACACAGCACCTACCACATAATATGGAACCCCTGAAATGTTTCGAGAAATCGTGTTAAGCTCCTCCTCAACCTAGGTAAATAGAGTCATGGAAAGCAAGAGCATCATTAGTCGATCTCACCAAGTAAAAATCGGGTTTTGTTGTAGTTGTTGTAAAGTAATTTATGCCATTTCGTGTCTGCCTAAGAACTAAGGTTCTGTATGGTTACCGTTTAAATGGTGTAATGACTCTACACAGGTAAACTGAAAACTAAACACAGACTGAAAATATAACGCTACCAGTTTGACGTTAACACCAAAAAGAAGGAAATGAATTTAGCATTTTGAAGTTATAACTTGCAATGCCTTTTAACTCAAATATTAAATCCAATAATGCATATCCTAGTAATAATTTGAATTTGAAAATAGCATAAAGAAGTGTATTTTTATATGTGTATTACCTCCTTCAGACCATTGTTGGGATCCTTAAGAAACTCTTCTGCTCCAACTATACCAACCTTTGCAGCAGATTCAAGAAGAAACTCACTGCATCCAAATTGAAAATGATAATTACTATGTCGTAGGAACTTTTTTTTAATAAAGTAGTAGAGCTAATGCAATGCTAATTGCAATCCTAACTATGTTAATATCTAAGGAACTAGATTTGAAGACAATTTAGTTTAAATGTCCAGCGATGTCTGCTAAATCCTACCACAAAAGACCACCCATCATCGCATTTGTTTCAAGCTGTTTAATTTCACTTTTGAATTCACTTTAAAGAGTACTGTTAATTTTTTTAATGCACATCCCTGGAAGAAATGAGATATTCAACCTCAAAGAAATAAAATATATATATATATATATATATATATATATAAATCGCTTGTCTTGTGAGTATTAAGCGTCACTGATATGCCAGAAAGAGAAACAATTCAGCTCTACTGAAACCCATTCCGACGGACATGTCTTCAATGGAGTATGTCGTATTTGTCCTTGGAAGGGCTTAAAAGAACATACATGAAGTGGCATTAATTGAGCAAACAAAACAGATAACAACACTTACTGGTCACCAATGTATTTTCCCTGTGTGAAATAGCCTATGGCAAGTTCTTCAACTAGAAGATGTTGCTTCTCAGGACCCTGCTGTCTTGCAAAATATATAAGTCTGTGGCTGTCAATAGTGTTTCCCCTGCCAAAACCATGTTTGTTGAACATAACTTAGACAAACTTCAGAACACTCCATTTTTAAAGTGATTTCTATATGCTTGTCCTTTGATGAAATGTAAAACCACTATCTATCTTACGTGAGTCCAGACAAACAATACTCCAGACCAACATTCTTGAACACCTGCCAAGTACCAAACTTCTTCGTTGGGATGAAAAATAGACAACACAGACCAATGATAACAGAGTGATCAACTGATATAAACCTCTGACATCCGAGCTTCCATCCGTTCTGATTGGGAACCAAACTTTCTTCTGTAATACTCCCTTTTGTCAATGCCTTCTTTAGGAGCTTCAGGATCAAGTTGAAACGGATGCCATGTTACCTTAAATTCAGTTAAACAGCAAATTAACACATGAAAAAGGCAGATATATTTGGTTTCAATGCATACGCACAAACAAGAGGAGAGTGTGAACCTCGAAGTAGTATTTATCATTGGAGGCAGCTAATGCCCTATCTAAATTCTTTTTGCCAACAAAGCACCATGGGCACACAGTATCAGAAGTAACGTCAATTCTCACAAGTTTCTTTTCAGAAGTCTCACTCATCATCCTGCTGTTTCTGCAATATCATTACAACATAACAAGTAAACGTAAAGATTGCTATGGCAAGGAGGAACAATATTCTTAAACTATTACCATTAATTTTGAGAGAAACATATTAATCATCTCTAATCCGTCATATTTCTTCCTAATGCTTCTAGAGAACTATGACCCAAGTTTCATACCAAAACTTAAGGCTGGACTAATAAAAGTGAGATCATTCCAAACACTTTTCATTTCCTTAATTCATGTAAATGAAGCGTTGGGTTAAAGATCAATGCAAATTAGTGGGATAAAATCAAACTATTGATCTACCTAGAAAACAGTAAAGAAAGTATCAAATTCTGCATGCATACTGCATCAAAGTTTCCCTTTCTCATATCTTATTTGCATAACAAAATCTTAATCCGCTATAAAGGCAGATAGACAAAGAAAAAATGCTGTGAAATATCAGATGCAGAACAACCCACAACAGTTTAGAAAACAAAAATTAGAAAGAAGATAAAGTTTGACAAGAGAAAAAAAGAAAAGAAAAGACAAGCATAATCAATAACCAACCCAATTTACCTGGAAGGATAAACAGAGAGGAGAGGCAATAAATTCAAAAGCTTTGTCACGACTCCAACGAATTGCATATGGAATCTATTCTTTGACAATGACCAGAGATTATAAACCTAAACCAGGAGGACAAACTTGTCCCTTTGATTGTATTATTATTATTTATTATGGTTTTATGTTCTTTTTAAATTCTTCTCCTAACTGTTCAAGTCGTCCTTTCAGACCCAACCATCCTAATTACTATATTTTAATAATTATTTACAAAATTTAAATAGTTTTCTTCCTAATACTCTGGTTATCAAATAAACATATATTTATCATAATTTCTAAATCTGTTAATAATTTATAGATGAAAGTTGTTATATTAAGCATCTTTTATTTTGTATAAATGAAATTAGTAAACCTTAAACATCATTTTTATCCTTACATTCTCAAATTATACATGGTCGTTGACTTTAACAATAAAGTAGAAAGAAGAGTATGAGAAGAAAACCTATATTCACGTGAGTGTTGGTGCTTACCAGAAAACCTAACTATGTATTTAATGGTGATAAAATGGATGAGAAAATAAAGTAAAAAATCAAGAACAGATGTGTATTATTTTTTTCTTTTATTCTTCAGATTCTTTATCGTTTTTGGATTTAAACAACTTTTCTATAAATAAAATTTTCATATGTTTTCTTTTTTAATTTAAGCATCTTTCTTTAACAAAATCATTAATCAACATTATTAAATTATCAGAAACCTAACAGGTCAAGCATTATTAATTTCATCTATGGAGGAAATCTTGCCTTTGTAAGCAAGCTAAATATTATATTACAAAATAACTTTTTCGTAAGTCGAATCTTTCGTGCACGTGATTCGATGGGAACGAATATCTTGTGTTTGAATTAAATAAAAATAATATTATTTTAATATCTATACATTGAAATATATATATTGTAATTGTAATATAGAAAATTGAATATAGTGAATGTGAGGGTGGTGAAGAACCAGAAAAGCGTTTGATACCCGCCACTGCTTCTAAGATTGACTCTTCTACGCTTCTTCGTTTCCATTGACTAACCATTCTTCATTCTTTCCTTTTCCTTTTCCTTCTCATTTTTTCACTCTTTTTCAGGTATCTATCCTACGCTTCTCTCTCCCATTGCATTGGATTTCCAACCCTATCCTCTCCCTTCTCCTTCACACTCCATTTCCCTAAATTCCCGCTTTTTTCCTTTTTAATCGCTTATCTAGTTTTGTACTTTTGCCATAATTATCTGATTTCATAAGGAAATACCTCGATTGGCTGCTAATTTCTTGTTTTCAACTTTTTTGAAACCAGAATGATACGGAAAGCGGGTTCAATTTGATTTTCATTTTTCGTTGCTTTGATTTAATCGTTAAGATTTTAGATTTTGGGTGCGGGGCGTTGAACTTTTATTTTTCTTAGCTGTTGTTTGTTTATGTTATTATTTGTTGCAATCTACAATTGAGCTTGTTGGTTTTTGCTGGTTAAGGTAGACAGAGTATGGATATTGATTCGATTTTCGGGACAACTCGACCCGTGAGTGTTCCAAGGAAGAGTGCCATTTATGTGTGGGGATACAATCAATCAGGGCAGACGGGTAGAAAGGGGAAGGAGGACCAGCTGAGGATTCCGAAGCAGCTGCCTCCTGAGCTGTTTGGATGTCCGGCTGGCACCAATGCACGATGGTTGGACGTTGCCTGTGGCCGGGAGCACACGGCGGCAATTGCTTCCGATGGCTCACTCTTCACTTGGGGTTAGGATTTTCTAATTCTCTTCTGTGTTTTACTCATTGTTCATTATTGCGTTCGTTCAAGTACCGTCTGTGTTTTGAAGTGTTGGGACTGGTTTATTCCCATGATTGTTCTGTGCTTGTGTTATTTAGGCATTCAAAGGGATATCAAATTAATAAATTTGTAGTCAATTATTTGTACCTTCCCTCCGTCGTAGACTTTGCTAGGGCATAATGGTGGATCCAGAATTTGGATCTTCTCCGGCTCCCTTCCCTCCAGCCATCGTGCAGTAAACATCTAAACCTTCAAATTTGTTACGAGAGGAAATAGAATATAATGAATGGTTGAGATTTTGGATGGAGAGAATCTGCATTTTGGATCCACCGTTAGAGTGATTTGTAATTGATTCCCACCAGGGAGCTCAGGCAGGAAAGGAAAAGGGCCATACCAAATTAGTAACAGTGAGCTTGTTCATGGGACTTCCCTTCCCAAATTTAAGCCTCCAATCTATTTCGTTCCTATGTTCAGAGGCCCTAGGCATATCTCCTTTATGTTATATATATAATAGCATTGGTTGGCAACAGACATGTACTTTGTTAAGCAGTCAAGTTATTCCATTTAGTAGCGACCATACAAATTATTTTGATATCGTTTCTTGCGTGTGCACAGTTACCCTTGAGGTTTTTTGTTATGTGAAAACTCAAGCCAGGGGTTGGTTGTTGGATTTGAAAAATAGAGGGACAGAAAGTGTAGGTCTACTTTTGGGAGGGAGACATGTTCTCTTTGAATAGTGCTTGCAGGAACTGACTTCCGTATTCTAAGACAAAAACATCTTAAATGATTTCTCATTGCACTTCAAATATAGGATGTGGTCTTTCAGAAGAGACAATTTTTCCTGTACAGTTCTTTCCTCGTTATAATTGGAATTACTTCCATTTGATAATTTATTAAGAATTTACAATAGGGACACCATGCATACCAATTTATTTACTGTAGATTATTTTTCCCCCTTTATTATACAATTCTACTTGTTTGTCTGTTATTTTTAATGGTTCATATTACATATAATTAGAGGAAACATAAAAGTATCTAGTGTCTAAGACTCGTGCACGTATATGCTAGGCGCTAATGACTTTGGTCAATTGGGTGATGGAACTGAGGCGCGAAGGAAACATCCAAAAAAAGTAAAGCAATTAGAGTCAGAGTTTGTAAAATCTGTATCCTGTGGAGCACATTGTTCTGCTTGCATTGCTGAACCTCGAGAAAATGACGGTACCATCTCCACAAGAAGGCTCTGGGTGTGGGGACAAAATCAGGTAATACCTCTTAAAGGATGAATACAATGTTGTCTGAATCTATCATTTTCTTCTTCAACACACTGTTTGTATTCCAGGGATCAAATCTTCCAAGGTTATTTTGGGGAGCCTTCCAACCTAATACAGTAAGTATATATGTTTGAACACACACTGGCTTATTTGCGTGCATATTCATCATTGCTTAAAGAATAATGTTATTTATTTGATTTTCTCTTTTATTTTTGTTACTTTCCTTATTTAGAGGTAAATTTACCTGAGTACCTACTTCTATTTGTCCATGCAAGGTAGAGAGGAGTGAAAATGACAATGGAAAAGAGTACTTATAACGGACATTTGCAAGCTCCATTTTCTCATTTGCCTTTTTTTCCTAAGAGTCAGCCAGCCATCATATCTGACCGTTGATTGGATATACATTTTCTGTTGCATATTTGTTACTCATGCTTTATTGCCATGCCTAACTATGATTTTAGGTTTTCCTTTCTAAACAATGTCTATTGTATAATTTATTTCTTATTTCTATACTCATTCTCAGTGTCTTTTTTTTTTCACTATGAATAAAATCTGTTCCTTTTGTTGATGTAATTGCTTCTGCGAATGTAATTATTTCATAACATTTCCTTTTGCTTAATTTCTTTCATGATGTATGAGTGAATCCTTTCTTCTGGAATTTAATTTAATTTTTATAAAATGTAAAGAAACTGTGTAGTTTCTTTTTTTTTTATGGGGGGATACAATTTTTAAATTATGTAATAGGAATTTTTTATTATGTTTTGCTGTATGTCCTCTTACCTTCCTATCTTCCCATCATTTATATCATCACACTTGCAGATTATCCGTGAAGTGTCTTGTGGAGCTGTCCATGTTGTTGCTTTGTCTGAAGAAGGCGTACTACAAGCTTGGGGTAACTCAGTTATTCATTCTTTATTTACAGTTTTCTTTCTAAAATTATATTGTTTATATATGACTTGTAAATTTATGTCGATGACTACCTTTATTGATTGACATGGACGGAGGCATATAAGTTTAGACAGCATTGAATGTAGGAAAGTAAACATGAGCACTTGCAAACTGGGTTTCTTGCCACCTACTAATCAGGGTTTTCTCACTGTTTTTATAAATCAGGCTACAATGAATATGGTCAACTTGGCCGTGGTGTTACTTGTGAAGGACTACAGGGTGCTCGTATTTTAAGTTCTTATGCTAAATTTCTTGATGAATCCCCTGAGCTTGTGAAGATTGCCAGAGTGTCATGCGGGGAGTACCACACAGCAGCCATTTCTGATAAGGGCGAGGTGTAAGTGATTTGAAGGACTTACTAAATGGAGATAGTTATAAATTTAAGCATGAGAATTGTGGTTTTCCGCATGACACGTTAGGGAATCTCACTTCGGGAGACAAGATACAATGGAAATGCTGCATCTATTATGCAAGTTTCTGTTCCTTTGGCTCGGCTATAAGCAAAAGTCGACTGTAGTTATACATAACTGGAACCAACCGTGTAACCCTGTTCTATTATATTCTGAGTGTCCTTGGTTTAAGTAGGTTCTGTTTGAAAAATATCTGTGGCGATGTTTATTATTTTATTTGCAAGGTTTTCTGTAGGTTGTTGGGGATGGATCTTGTTCTGCTTAAATAGTATTATTGGGGATGCATAAGCAGTATCACCAGTAACTATTTATTAAATTGGCTTACTTGTTATAATACTTCCTCACTTGTTATATTTGTCCTTGGAGCTTGCAGTTACACATGGGGGCTTGGAAATATGGGCCAGCTTGGGCATTCTTCACTCCAGTATGGGGATAAAGAGTTAATTCCAAGGAGAGTGGTTACACTTGAGGATGTTTTCATAAAGGATGTGGCGTGTGGTGGTGTACACACGTGTGCTGTAACTCAGGGAGGAGCACTTTATGCCTGGGGGGGCGGTCAGTCTGGGCAGCTAGGACTTGGCCCCCAAACTGGATTATTCTCGTGTGTTGCTAATGACTCGCATACATTTTTCCGAAACATTCCAGTTTTAGTTGTTCCTAAAGGTGTTCAACTTGTTGCTTGTGGACATTCCCACACACTTATCTCTATGAGTGATGGTCGAATTCATGGATGGGGTTACAATAATTATGGCCAGGCAGCCAATGAGAAATGTACATATGCTTGGTATCCATCACCAGTTGACTGGTATGTATTTGTTACTTAAAGAAACTTTTTCATGACCACACAGGCTTTTATATTGAAGTTTCTAAATCACAGGTGTGTTGGGGAGGTTCGGAAACTTGCTGCTGGTGGTGGCCATTCAGCTGTGTTGACTGATGCTTGTTCGTTAAAGGAGTTATGTGAGTTTGTACTTGCAGATAGCATGACTTTAGCCAATGCTGCTAAGGTTGAGGATATTGCATATAGAACTGGATCAGATGCTTTGGCACGCCTTTGTGGAAGACTCAGGTACGTGTGGTGTTTATGATTTTTATATAAACTGCTGCTTAATTAGANCCATGCATACCAATTTATTTACTGTAGATTATTTTTCCCCCTTTATTATACAATTCTACTTGTTTGTCTGTTATTTTTAATGGTTCATATTACATATAATTAGAGGAAACATAAAAGTATCTAGTGTCTAAGACTCGTGCACGTATATGCTAGGCGCTAATGACTTTGGTCAATTGGGTGATGGAACTGAGGCGCGAAGGAAACATCCAAAAAAAGTAAAGCAATTAGAGTCAGAGTTTGTAAAATCTGTATCCTGTGGAGCACATTGTTCTGCTTGCATTGCTGAACCTCGAGAAAATGACGGTACCATCTCCACAAGAAGGCTCTGGGTGTGGGGACAAAATCAGGTAATACCTCTTAAAGGATGAATACAATGTTGTCTGAATCTATCATTTTCTTCTTCAACACACTGTTTGTATTCCAGGGATCAAATCTTCCAAGGTTATTTTGGGGAGCCTTCCAACCTAATACAGTAAGTATATATGTTTGAACACACACTGGCTTATTTGCGTGCATATTCATCATTGCTTAAAGAATAATGTTATTTATTTGATTTTCTCTTTTATTTTTGTTACTTTCCTTATTTAGAGGTAAATTTACCTGAGTACCTACTTCTATTTGTCCATGCAAGGTAGAGAGGAGTGAAAATGACAATGGAAAAGAGTACTTATAACGGACATTTGCAAGCTCCATTTTCTCATTTGCCTTTTTTTCCTAAGAGTCAGCCAGCCATCATATCTGACCGTTGATTGGATATACATTTTCTGTTGCATATTTGTTACTCATGCTTTATTGCCATGCCTAACTATGATTTTAGGTTTTCCTTTCTAAACAATGTCTATTGTATAATTTATTTCTTATTTCTATACTCATTCTCAGTGTCTTTTTTTTTTCACTATGAATAAAATCTGTTCCTTTTGTTGATGTAATTGCTTCTGCGAATGTAATTATTTCATAACATTTCCTTTTGCTTAATTTCTTTCATGATGTATGAGTGAATCCTTTCTTCTGGAATTTAATTTAATTTTTATAAAATGTAAAGAAACTGTGTAGTTTCTTTTTTTTTTATGGGGGGATACAATTTTTAAATTATGTAATAGGAATTTTTTATTATGTTTTGCTGTATGTCCTCTTACCTTCCTATCTTCCCATCATTTATATCATCACACTTGCAGATTATCCGTGAAGTGTCTTGTGGAGCTGTCCATGTTGTTGCTTTGTCTGAAGAAGGCGTACTACAAGCTTGGGGTAACTCAGTTATTCATTCTTTATTTACAGTTTTCTTTCTAAAATTATATTGTTTATATATGACTTGTAAATTTATGTCGATGACTACCTTTATTGATTGACATGGACGGAGGCATATAAGTTTAGACAGCATTGAATGTAGGAAAGTAAACATGAGCACTTGCAAACTGGGTTTCTTGCCACCTACTAATCAGGGTTTTCTCACTGTTTTTATAAATCAGGCTACAATGAATATGGTCAACTTGGCCGTGGTGTTACTTGTGAAGGACTACAGGGTGCTCGTATTTTAAGTTCTTATGCTAAATTTCTTGATGAATCCCCTGAGCTTGTGAAGATTGCCAGAGTGTCATGCGGGGAGTACCACACAGCAGCCATTTCTGATAAGGGCGAGGTGTAAGTGATTTGAAGGACTTACTAAATGGAGATAGTTATAAATTTAAGCATGAGAATTGTGGTTTTCCGCATGACACGTTAGGGAATCTCACTTCGGGAGACAAGATACAATGGAAATGCTGCATCTATTATGCAAGTTTCTGTTCCTTTGGCTCGGCTATAAGCAAAAGTCGACTGTAGTTATACATAACTGGAACCAACCGTGTAACCCTGTTCTATTATATTCTGAGTGTCCTTGGTTTAAGTAGGTTCTGTTTGAAAAATATCTGTGGCGATGTTTATTATTTTATTTGCAAGGTTTTCTGTAGGTTGTTGGGGATGGATCTTGTTCTGCTTAAATAGTATTATTGGGGATGCATAAGCAGTATCACCAGTAACTATTTATTAAATTGGCTTACTTGTTATAATACTTCCTCACTTGTTATATTTGTCCTTGGAGCTTGCAGTTACACATGGGGGCTTGGAAATATGGGCCAGCTTGGGCATTCTTCACTCCAGTATGGGGATAAAGAGTTAATTCCAAGGAGAGTGGTTACACTTGAGGATGTTTTCATAAAGGATGTGGCGTGTGGTGGTGTACACACGTGTGCTGTAACTCAGGGAGGAGCACTTTATGCCTGGGGGGGCGGTCAGTCTGGGCAGCTAGGACTTGGCCCCCAAACTGGATTATTCTCGTGTGTTGCTAATGACTCGCACACATTTTTCCGAAACATTCCAGTTTTAGTTGTTCCTAAAGGTGTTCAACTTGTTGCTTGTGGACATTCCCACACACTTATCTCTATGAGTGATGGTCGAATTCATGGATGGGGTTACAATAATTATGGCCAGGCAGCCAATGAGAAATGTACATATGCTTGGTATCCATCACCAGTTGACTGGTATGTATTTGTTACTTAAAGAAACTTTTTCATGACCACACAGGCTTTTATATTGAAGTTTCTAAATCACAGGTGTGTTGGGGAGGTTCGGAAACTTGCTGCTGGTGGTGGCCATTCAGCTGTGTTGACTGATGCTTGTTCGTTAAAGGAGTTATGTGAGTTTGTACTTGCAGATAGCATGACTTTAGCCAATGCTGCTAAGGTTGAGGATATTGCATATAGAACTGGATCAGATGCTTTGGCACGCCTTTGTGGAAGACTCAGGTACGTGTGGTGTTTATGATTTTTATATAAACTGCTGCTTAATTAGACTATCATTAAGTTACGGGATGTGGCAAACATTATTAGTCAACAATTAATTAATCGTTGAAAGGAAAAACAATTGTTGGTGATGGTAGAAGAGTATAATATTTGATGGTAAAACTGGATTCATTCTTGAGCTGAGTTGGGGCTTCATGTTAAGTGTTTCTGAAAGAAAATTCTGGCACAATTGCCTTTTGTCGTTGTTTTTTATTTTATGCACTATTATGATACAGTTGCTCTCCCTTTCACTTTTCTTTCCTATTTTAGCTTTGTTATTTTCTCAATGAATGAAATCCTAATGTTGTGGCAACAACTTAATGGCAGAGAGTATATGCTTGCTGGCGGAGCTCTCGAACAAAAGGATGAGAAGAACAGTAAACTCAGACTTAGCATATAAAGTTAGTATTAGTAATTACTTGTGCATATTAAGTTGTACGATATATGTATTCATAATTAGACCAATGTCATTATTTGGACAAAAGCGATCATGCAATCGACAAGAAAGATCTTACGAGACAATGAATTTGTTCGTATCGAATCGATGGATCATTAACTCGGTGCAAGAAATTTCTCAGACATCTATCTGATTGAACTCTTTTATCTAAATGAGACTCTATTAATGTTGATCAGCTACTTTTATGCTATGCGTAGCTACAGTAGATGACTTCCTACTTTGTATCTCTCCTAATCCCAAAAAAAACAATGTTCCCTGCGTTTTAGAGCACTCTGCCGTTACCAACTTTAAGCTATCTGTAATCAAGTTCCTGCTGCAACTTCCTCCACCCTCAAGACATTAACGACTTTCTGGCTGGATTTACCTATTTTTTTACCAATAATTTCTGTCTGGATATTTTATTTTTAGGAAAATAAAGAAAAGTTACAGTTTTTTATGATAATTGTGATTCAGTTAGTTTTATTTGAATTCTAATTGAATATATGTTTGAATTTTAGAAATTTTAAGTGTTTGTTAAAGGAAAAAATCAATGTTAGCGTATGATAAACCTTAAAAAATTATTAATGATTTTAAATTTACAAAGTAAAAAAAGTAAATGAAAAAGAGCTCTCTTTAAAGTTAATAACATATTAATATTAAATGTTTCTTTTTTAATAAACACACTTGATAATTACTAAGATTAAATTCACGTTGAATTATTTCAATTAATAATAGATTTAAAAAAATAATATTTAATTGTCTCAATCGTTAATGAACTCAAATAAAATTGCAGAATTAAAGTATTCGTATGAATATTATAATTTTTTCTCTCATTAATTAAAAACGAATATTTCATACTTTTTATATGAAGTTGACTATGTATCAACCAATTTAATTTAATAGTTCAATACTATCTAATTTAAGAAAGAGAATGGTAAATCTTATATTACTGAAGAAAATAACAATTTAACATGATAAATTAGATTTTCAATAGGCGGAATTATTTGTTTTGGACATTTTGTGCTCCCAATCGCTTTTTTATTTTTTTTTAATTAATATTTTAATCTCATTATGATATTTTTTGGATTTTATATTTTGTCACATGAAAGAAAAATCAATAGGAATAAAATCCTGCGGCTTCGAGCATGATAAGCTTATTTAAGTGAAAACCTACTTCATCCCTGCAGCTGAATTTCAAAATAGAAATAGCGACTACATGATGCAGAGAGTATAACTTACATACATCTCTTTTTTTCAATTTTTTCACTCATCTTTATCCAAACTGGGTTTAATATTGAAGCCTTAAACCCGCTAGAAATAAAGCAAAGATACGCACTTTCTGGGAAAATAACTGCTTCATATCATTAATCTCAGAATGAACCATGCAATAAGTTTGAGCCGTTATTAAGCTCGGCATATTTAAATTAGCTATTCTAAGATATATAGATATAGATATAGATATAGATACATAATATATATAATTGAGCGTTACACATTAATTATCTGACATGTCACGTAATGATGTCAGATATGCAGCATCCATGGTGGGATGAGTGATTTGCCAGTTGGCACTGTTTGAGCTTCACCCATTTCCTCCATCGTTGCTCTTCCTTGCAATGGCCCACTGCACCATTTTCACACTTCAATCAATCAACTTAGCTAATATAACTATGCATTACTTTTTTTTAGCAATCTTTTATTGACATTAGGACCATAAGATATCATTAAACTAGCTTATGGTCTGTATATTGAGAGAAAAAAATAAGAGATGTTAAATATTTCTCATAGAGCTATAGTTATTTTCCTCTTTGATAAGTACTTATAAATCAAATTCACTCAACATAGAGAAATAAGATTGATACCTGAGAGTTAAAGAAGGAACAAGTCTTTGTGGTGGTAATAGCTGTGGAGAAGCTAAGTTGAGATTGGTTGAATTTTGGCCAAGAGTTTCTGGTACACTATGTGGAAGTTCAGTCAATGTCTTCCCTTTCTCTTTCATCTGTTCATAAATTCCATTAAAATGAAAACTTTTTCTTTATCCTTTAGCCTTCATTGAATATATATATATAGAAGATTTAGATTGAAATGTTAATACTTCTACCTTTGCTAGCTTGCTGTTTTGCTCTTGTAATGTTCTTGCCTGTCATGTCATATTCACAACAAAACAAATATTTATCTTTACAAATTCCACATGTTTTTATGTATAAGCAAAGAATTCTTCTTAAATATATATTCAATGATCCTAGCTACAGATTACTTCACAAGCCATGCATGAAATCCAGACAACATTCGATGTCACCATCAATTCACAACAGACATCTTACCCTTTTATGCAGCTCTGAGATAGATTGATTCATAACTTGATTCTGCAAAATTCAAATTGATCTGTCAGATGAAGAACATATAAAAGAAAAAGAAAAAGAAAGCCACATTTACTTAAATTTTTCTCTTTTGTTGCTTCTATCTTTTCGTGTATTGTAAATCAAGAAGAAGCAGTATTCACCTTTCTTGTTCGGATGCGCTTCAGAGATGTGTCAAGCTGCTGCTCCAAACTCTGAAGCTCTTTCAAACTCAAGGGATCCAGCCCATTTCCCAAGAAATTCCTATATTCAAGATTATATAAACTATATATCATTCTTTCCACATAAGTGACATTTATGAAAGTTATACGATATTATAGGTCTAGTTTTTTTATTTAATGATCTTTGTAATGTAAATTACTTTCAAACGTACCTTACGTTCCTCTCCAAGACTTCAACTTTTGCAGTGAGCTTGATATATTCGAAAGACCAATTGCCCTACAATAAAATGATCTTCGGTTACTACTGATGTGACTTACGTCGAAAAGAAGATAGTCATATTCACTATCATGCATTGTGTATAAAAAGCATATTAAACACAAGTGAAAGAGATTTTCTTGTGTTTTTTTATCAGATAATGTCAATTATCATTAACTACTACGTTAGTTTTTAGTACTGAGATGTTTCCAATGCATGGCCAACTTTTTCTTTCTTTCTTTCAAGACAACTTTGTTATAGTAAGAAGATTTGTGTCAGTTCTCATTGTAAAAGTAGTATTCCTAATCAGTGTTTTTAACTTCTAAAAACATTTATGAGCAATTATCTGTCGAAAGAAATTATAGGGCATTGCTTATATAAATATTATTTATATGAGCAAAGTTGTTTTAATATATTATTCTTTTTAAATAAAGAAAATAATAAAAAATAATACTTTAATTTGTAATATCTGATATCAACCGTATTATTTATAAAATAAAGTTAACCACTCCCCTTATCAAAATTGGCATTAGAGTGAAATTTTTTTGTAAATTGTTGAAACATATATTTTATTATAAGACAAAAAAGTAAACTTAAGAAAAAAAAACTCATTTAACAATTAATTCCCATGCAATAATTAAAAACAAGACTTAATAACTTTTTTTTCTCATAGTTATCATATAATATATTCCGTATAGATAGAAATCATATATATATATATATATATATATATATATATATATATATATATATATATATATATATATATATATATATATATGGAAGATGATGAAGAACCTGCGAGTCATTGTTGGTTCCAGTGAGTGCTGTATGAGTATATCTCTCGTAACGTTACGAGAGATCTTCCATGCTGTTACATGAGTCAAAATAAATAAAAAATACAAAAAAAAACTATAAAAAATACAAAAAAGGTAATAATTTTTTTGGTTTGAAATACTCTAAATATTTCAGAAATTATATACATTCAACACGTCAAGTTGGAATGCAATTCAGAAAAATAGTTAATCAATCTATGTTTTGATTTTTTTTTTTCCAATAACCAAATATTTTTGCACAATCTATTTCATCCTCTTTTCCAAAGTCACTAAACTCACTTTATATTTCTTAAACTAAACCGCCTTATGACTCCTACTTGTTTAAGTTTTATGTTTAATTTGATCTTTCAAATTTGTATAGTTTTTTCATTTTTAATTCATTTATTTTTCCTCTATCTTCTATTCACTTACACAAGTAAAGGCAACCAATTTGTTAATTATAAAGGTTGGAAATTCCCATGTGAATGTTGGAACTGATTGCATAGTTTAGCTAATTGGGCCTCAACTGGGGGACAACTACAAGCTGGTTTGGACGTAAACATATTTTTTCTCATAAATTTTAGCTCATACACATTGAAAGGAGACAGATAAAACCACGAGTATTGATGTTAAAGATTTTGTTTATATAGAAATTTTATTGATTTGTTAAAACAAAAATGGAAAAAAACGATAAAATAAAGTGCCATAAGATATATATATATATATATGTAATAGATCGATACACAAGAAATTATAGAAATTTATAAAAGAACATGTATTGATAACATTCTTTATCTAACTTAAATAGATTTACAGCATAATTACATTTTTATTCTATTATTACCCATAATAAATACTCTTACTAATTTAAGTTCTTTTATTGCTAGTCACAGCCTAATAAGGTGAGAATAAATATTGTTGAACAATGATTGGTGTATTTATAAACTGCAAATCAGTTAGGTAGAAAACAATCCTTAGGATTATTCACAAAAATATGTAATGCTTAATGTACTTATTCTAAAGATTAAATGTAGAATTAGAAAGAATGAAACAAAGAAAAGTGTAAGAACATTCTAGTAAAAAGAATTCATTCAATAATTAATTTATTATTTTTCTTAATATGTATATAAAAGAAAATCTTAAAGAGTAGACAAAATAACACAAAGTGAGTAGCATTTAGCACATTTTCAGACATAAAAGGGTGACATTGACCTATGAGCACACGAAGATTCTCATAGTATTTGCTAAACTTTAATTTGAGTTTCCACCTATAGAGAACTTCTGATTGTCAGACTGCACGGAAAACAATGCATATGCATAGCATATATTGTTTCATGTTCACCAACTAGTCCTGTTTATAGTTCGGTCTATTCGCTGTAGCTACCAACCTCTAAAGATCCTAAACATTAGCTTTATTGCAATTTTTTTTTAATTAAACTTAGATATTTCTACACAAAACAAACTAATCCCTAATTGAGATAGTTATATGTAATTCTATTATAAAAACTAATTAATGCTAAAACTAGAAATAAAAACTAATCCTTATATTTATCAATGGTCTTCAGTTATTACCTCTTTAGATGGTGAATTACAGAATCAATGATTTACATATATTCATTGTCAAGGGCACTCCTTATTTTGTATATGCTGCTTAAATTTCTGTGTTTGGTTTGAATTCTTTCAACACCACTTGCTTTGTCATGTATTTTTGGAACAACAT